TCTCCTCATCTTTGACAACAACTTCTGTTTCTTCTTCGACTTCATCTGGGGTACACAATTCAACATCAACATGCTCTACCTCAACATGTATCTTTCCTTGTTCCAGCTCTTCGTCAGCATCATCAGTTTTATTGAAAGCCATCTTTGCTTCATTGAAACTACATCTCGACTGGTGATACACCTCTCGTGACCTGGCTCTAGGCACCATAGCCTATAAGCTTTGACTCCTTTAGGGTATCACATGAACATGAATTTCAGGGTTCTAGGTTCGACCTTGTCTTGCCTAATGTGAACATAGGCCACACGTCCAAAATTTCTCAGTTTGTCGAGACTAGGTGGATGTCCCGACCAAACTTCTTTAGGTGTCTTCATATCTAACACAGTAAACAAACATTTGTTTATCAGATATGTTATTGTCGAAACAGCCTCAGCCCAAAACACCTTCTTTAACCCAGCACTAACCAACATGCATCTAACTCTTTCCAAAATATTTCGATTAAACCTTTCTGCCAAACCATTTTTTCTAAAGTCCCTACAATATTTTTATGCCTTGCAATACCTGAGGTATCACAAAAACTATCGAACGCCTCATTGCAAAATTCAAGGCCATTGTCTTTTCTCAACCTCTTGACCTTTCTACCAGTCTAATTTTCGACCAGAGTCTTCCAACCTTTGAAATTCTCAAAAGTTTCATCCTTAGTCTTCTGGATGAATACACATAACTTCCTGGAATAATCATCAACTATAGATAGAAAATACCTTGCTCCTGAATGTGATGGGCACCTTACAGGCCTCCAAAGATCAGCATGGATGTAATCATGGGATCCCTGAGTTCTTTGTTTGCCTTTGTTGAACTTCACTCTACAAGATTTTCCAAGTACACAGGGTTCACAAAATTTCAGCTTTTCGACTTTGTCTCCTCCAAGCAGATTTTGTTTCCTTAATTCGACTAGATCCCTTTCACTGACATGGCCCGATATTATGTGCCAAATTTTTATTTTTGACAACCGTGGATGCAACATTTGTCAAACCACTTACAACTTCAGCCTCAAGGGTATACAAGTCTTATTCCTTCACACCTCTCAAGACTTCCTTCGATCCCTTCATGACTCTTAGGATACTTTTCTCTCCTTGAAAAACATATCCCTTCCTGTTGAATTCACCAAGAGAAATCAAATTTCTCTTTAAATCAGGTACATACCTGACTTTAGTCAATACCTTATTGACACGTATGGAGCTTGAATCTCACAGATCCAATACCTGCAATTTTGCAAGATTTGTTGTTTCCCAGCAGCACTTATCCACCATCTTGATCACATAGCTCCTCGAACAATTCCCTATTTGGATTCATGTGTCAAGTGCAACCTGAATCCATAATCCACTCCTTTCTTGAGTCACCACTTGAAACCACAAGAACATCAGATGATTTGAAGTCATCTTGAACAATGGTTGCGTTGCCATTATCTTTACCTCCATGATCTTTCAGGCGTTCAGGGCACACTTTTCTTGTGTGAACCTCCTTCTTACAGTGATAGCATCGAATACCAGATGCCTCGCCACTATATGACTTCTGTTGACTTTTACCTTTCTTCTTTTCGAACTTACCATCCTTTCGCATGAATTTTCCCTTACTGGCCAAACCTTCGCCCACCGTTGAAGGTTTATACTCCTTTCGTTCATTTAGGTTCTTAGAATACAAGGCTGATTGAACTTATTCAAAGCTCAGGGATTCCCTCCCATACATGAGAGTTTCTTTGAAGTGAGCATGTGTTCGAGGCAAAACACACAACAAAAATAATGCTTGATCTTCATCATCGATTTTCACATTAATATTTTCAATATTAAGAATCAGCTTGTTGCACATATCCAACTGCTCAGCCAACACTTTTTCTTCACTCATCTGGAATGAATACAAAGCTTGCTTCAGGTATAGTCAATTCACCAGATATTTGGTCATGTACAAACTTTCAAGTTTCAACCATAACCCCGATGTCGTTGTCTCTTTTGATACCTGTCGAAGAACCTTATCACCAAGGCTCAACAGTATTATGTTGTGGGCTTTCTTTATCATGGTCGTCTTTTCTTTTTCCATTAATGCAACATCCATGAATTAGGATGCCTTTAAACAAAATATACTTGGTTTCTTTATGATCAAGAAACACACAAGGGTTAGGGTTAAGGAAAAATAAGGAGAACAACAAGGATTGGTTTACTCAAGAATAACAAATAACCCTCTCACCCTAATTAGGTTTTGTCACACCACACTTAGATGAGAGACTAGTATGTTATTTATAATAAACTTAACATACTAAACTAATGGGCTTTTTAACAATTATCCATTACAAGTTAACTTAGGGTACAAGCTAACTTAAACAATTGGATCCATAACAAAAGGCCCAATTTGACAAAGATTTTGACAATACATATTAGAATAGACTTCAACTATAATATTTATCCTTCAACCACAGCATGCAACCCAGCTTCAACTTCATGTTTGTCTCCTGTCGAAAATACATGAAAGTTATTCCTTGACAAAGCTTGAGTTCGACCCAAAATTTCACAATTTAAAATGCAACTTATATCAAACATGTTTTTCGAATTGCATCCATCTCGTAATTCATCTATATCGCTCTTTAACATGTAGAACTTGGTTTATTGCCCCAAATTCTTCAAAGCAATAGTTCCTTCTCTATTAATTTATATTTCAAAACATCAAATTTGTTGAGAAATTGAATCATCTTCATCGATGTCATCATAATAATCTTCATCGTAGATTAAAATAATGATGATGATGATGATTCTAAATTAGTCAGCATATTGATGCTTTGCAAAATAAACTAGGAACGAATCGTTGCTTTAAAGAATTTGGGGCATTGAATCAAATACTATAAGTTAAGAAGCAAAAGATGAATTACGGTATGAACGCAATTTGAAAAATAGTGGTTCGTTTAAGTTATTTTTCAAGAATAATTTAATTTTTCAAATTATTATCTTCTACATCAATTTTAATGGTTGTATATGTTTAGTGAGATGTAAGGAAAAACAAGAAATCTACATATTTTATAATAAATTCAGGGTACTTTTCACAACAGTTATCTTCTGTAACTGTGGTGGAATGTTAATTATATTTCAAATAAATTGTTTCAGATAAATGGTTAGCTTGCGCTTAAGTAATTTAGTCTTTCTGACCAGTTATATGTAAAATAAACAAGAGTAAGTCTTGAAGTGCTAAGGTGACACACACACAATTATGGAGTGTTTTCTTTGATTGATAGCCATATAAAGGTTATTCCATAAATACAACAACAAGATCAACAATATTATGTTGGGATGGATTGTAAAAGGAGAAAAAATATTTTGTTCAAGATAAAAGAACATTGAAGATTTTTTCTGTCTTACAATCCATCACAAAGTATCATGTATACAAGTTTGGAGCAGCTACATATAAGTTAGGTTTTGGGTAAAATCTAATTAACAAGTGTTTTTATAGTAAAACCTGATTATTTAATCCCTCGGTTATTAAAGATAACTGAAGGAATAGATTATTAATTTAAAAATAAAATATAAAATAAAAAGAAAGACACCAGTTTTAAAGAAATAAAAACATAAACGGTTGTTGTTGAGATTCAAAGCATGTATTGAATTATTTTTTTCCTCAGTTATATTAAGAAATCAAAGGAATATGTGGTATTTGTTTTTAAAAAAATATGGGGCGCCTTAGCATTATACCTCAGATTTTTATTTTGTGAGGTGAAAGATTTATCATGAAATGTATTATTTGTAGTTGTGAGTAATCAAGTTTGTTCAACAGAGATATAACTAGAGATTCATCAGTGCTACAATTATCCAAAGTGATGGCAAATAATTTTCTATCAACATTCCAATCAAGCATGCATTTTATAGATACCTTAATAAGAGCTTCAATCGTGTGTGGATATTCTACATATACAAACCTTATTAGAGTTTGGCATAACTCTTCCTTACAATACCGACTTGTAAGGTGAGGGTGTCCCATTAAACTCTTTCAATACTCTATCTCCAATCAATATGAGAGTACTTGAGATTTCTCAATACATTATGTCACGTCCAACACTCTTTTTGAGATTTGTGTGTGGATATTAACGTTGAGAGGCCCATAGTCCGATTGATAGACTATGATACCATATTAAAAAAATTTGTTGAGTCTAACTTAATTCTACAAAACTGACTTATAAATTAAAGAGTATTTATCTATATAAATTCTTCCAATGCTCTATCCTTAACTAATGTAAAACTTAAAATTTATCCAATAAAACTATTGTGCAAAATAATTCCTCAAACATTAATAAAGTTATAAAAACCATAATTAAAATTGTTCATCATCAAACAATAATATGACTCAATAATTAATAAAATTAAGTTAAACATTATATATATACCTCAAGATATGACTTTGCAAATCTCAGCCTTCAACAATGTAGTGAGTTGTGATTATATTTGCTAGTCAATTTCTTGATAATTGTCAATTAATTAAATTAAGTTATTTTTCAAATACTAAACTATGATAATTTCTATAAAATCTTGATAATATTTATATATTTTTCTTTATCTTCGCTCTCTAATCAAATTAAAATCAATTAAATATATATGAATAATATTTTATATCTTTAAGATTAAATTTAAAATATGTGCAAATTTTAATAAAATATAAAATTAAACTTTATTCTTAAATTTTGAAAGTGGAAGGGAAAGAAATTTTTTTAAAACATATTTAAGAAAGAAATTTGCTATGGTGAAATAGAAATAGTATAAAAAAATTTAAAAGAATGCAAAAGTCATAATTTGTAACTGTAAATTGATTAAATTATGTTATTTTTTTAAATATAAACTTTGATTATTTCAATAAAAGTTAGATAATATTTATATTTTTTTCTTTAATAGATTCATATTAATTTAGATCTTCTCTCTAATGAAATAAAGATCAATTAGGTTCTTGTTTTCACTACTGTTCTGATGCTGAGATGATAGTTATCAAGAAACGAAAATGTGTGCAACAAGAAACCGATGATGTTATGGAACCTAAATTTGTTTGCACACATCTATCACTTTCCTGTCAATGCATGGATGATACACAGATCATTAAGAATATAAAGAATGCGACGAATCTTGATGGTTCTTGGAAGATCAAGAAGATGCTGGAAAAGAGTGATCTGGGAAACAATTCAAGACTTTTGGTGAGTAAAGAATTGGCTAAGGAGTTTGTGATTCCTTTCTTGACTAGCGGTGATGACACAGCTAAGGAAAAAGAAGGAGTTGAAGTTCAAGTATTGGATATTGATGATAACACTCTCCATTCTCTCAATTTTAAGATATGGACTTCTGCACAAAGTTACGTCTTCACCAAAAAATGGATTAAAGATTTTGTTCGTAAGAGAAACTTAAAGAAAGGAGATGAAATCGGTCTTCGTTGGAATGAGCAAAACCAACAATTTGAGTTCTCGGTTCTTCGTAGATGTTAGAAGTGACACACTTATGGAAAACATGTTTGATGTCCTACATGTTTATGATTTTGAATGGTTGTTTATCTGTTAAAAAGATGTAGTTTGTATAAAGTTAAGTCTATTTTGAAAATTCATGTCAGAAATTATTTGTTTGTTAAGTCTATTCTTTTGAGTAAAGATTTAGTAATACAAATCATGTTTATATATCCATAGCTAGAAATGCCTTTGATAGTTATAAATCATGTTCTGATTGCTGTAAATATCGCCTTGGCTGTGATAGGTAGAATATAAGAATATAAATCAATTTTCGTTCTTCATGAAGTACTACACAAATATTGTATAAAATCAGCAAGTAACTTTGGAAATTGGGGTATCATATTCTGATAGTTAGAATTCATATTCTGATTGTTGTAATTGTCGCTTTGGCTGTGTATTATACCTCAAATTTTGACTCCTAGATTCCATCATCATTTTAGGAGCATCACACATTATTTCCTAACACTAACTTTGTTTCAAGCTTGTTATTGTTGAAGTTCATCTGAATTAGGGTTTTGCACTTATGGAATCAAGAGGATTATTGCTTGATCAGTCAACGTTTTGGATTGATCATCACCAAATAAAATTCTCATACATTCAAGGAGCTTATATTTAACAAGAATCAAGTGTTAATTGATCTCACTGCAACGCAATTGAAGCTCAATTTCATCTGGCCCTAAATTAGAATTTTGTTAGGAAAGTCAATTGTGCCTTTGACTTTTGGTTCAAGCATGATCCCAAATCTTGGGACATGATTCAACATTTTCATATACATCATTGAAGCCTACTTATTATGTTTGAGAAGTCTCAAGATTCAATCTCATTGAAGATCACACAGTTGAATTCATCTGATTCAAAATTCATTTGACAAAGTCAACTCTTTGACTTTTAGAGTTTTTGGTTCAAATTGGAGCATCCAAGCCAAATTTTATCAATATATGTTCAATCCATGAGTTTGATCATGATAAATCAATATTTGAGGGGTTTCTTGCAAAAGAAGAAAACTTAGACAACTTGAACTTTTTCTATGTGAAAAAATTATAGTTTTGGTGCCAACTTTGAAAGGCCATAACTTTCAATCCACACATCCATTTTGTGAGTTCCAAAAATTAATTTGAAGATCTCCTCATGTACTACAAAAGTGTCATACTGACCTATGAGCAAAAGATACTTGGATTTTGAGTTATGAAGCTTCAAAGTATAGAAGAATTTCAAAACACTTGGAAAGTTTTCAAGACAGCTTTGTTACTCCAATTTGCAGTCAACTTCAAGGCTAGTTTTCACCATGATCCCTTGAGATTCAATAAAGTCTCAAAACATGAAAGTTGTAGGGTATGTTTAGAGCTTCCTAAAAAGTACAAGAACTCCCTCATAGAATATGTGAGCTAGGAGTTTCAAATATAAGAAGTTGAGGTCCAAAAACTTGAAATTCAAGGTTTCAACTTGACATGACATGATGCAAAACCAATCTTTTGTTGAAAATCTTGGTGTTTTGGGTTGTCTAATTAGAATATCCCTTTTTATCAGAGTGTTACATGAAATTTTAAGAGATTACACAAAGTTTTAAGGCATAAACCAAGAAGTTATTCCACTTATGGCATAAAGTGAATACTTCCACATTGGTAAAGTATGGCTTTTCCTTGAAATCTGCCTTGACCCATTCCCCTACCTTCCTTCTACACTCCAAAGTACACTCAATCTGCAGAAGCATGCTCTCTACTCAGCAACTCTTGTCCTTGATCCCTTGAACCAAGAGAAATCATCATCACAAGCAAGTTAATTTTCAAGTGGACAAGTTTGCAAAATTTTGGATTTTGACCAGACCACAAACCCTCCACTTCTCCTATAAATAGGACATCAATCCTTAGTGAAAAGAATGACAAAAATATCCTAAAAAAGCCTCTCAAAACCTCTTGCATACTCAGAATCACTAGTTCTTGCAAAAACCATCCAAATTTGCAAAAACACCTCAAATACACAGTTTGCTTGTGCATTTGGTAAACCAACACCACAAACCTTCTCTAGATACTCCACAGAGTGCATTCAAACCATTGAAGCATCTTTGTAACATCTCAAACAACATGCATCATCTTCAACCTCCATTGTTACAAGAAGGATCATGTTCTGTTTTAGAAGCCAGATCAAGCTTGTTCAATCATTCAAGCTTACTTCAAAAAGCTCAACAAAGTTGTGAAGGTTATCATCTCACAACTGCAATTGTTGAGAAAAAGCATTGGACTTTCTCCAAGAGGTAAGCTTCGTATTCCTTGACTCCCGTGATTCATGCACCATTAATGATTCATTTATGAAGCAAACATGTAGACATTATCATATTTTAGTTGTTTCAACCATTGATTGTGTTGTATGAGTTGCACATGTAATGTTTTGACATGTGATATTCTTAATGTGTTACATTGTTGTTGGACAATTTATGAGTTACTCGGTCATTTTTAGGACAAGTTATTGTTATATTCTTGATCCTTGTGAAAAATACTCCAACTTTGATCATTATATCATTTGAAATAGTTGAGAGATGAAGGAGATATAGATTGAAGAAGTTATGGCCATGGTTCTAGGGCACGAGAGAGAGAGAGAGAGAGAGAGAGAGAGAGAGAGAGAGAGAGAGAGAGAGAGAGAGAGAGAGAGAGAGAGAGAGAGAGAGAGAGAGAAGCTAAGGAAGATGAAGCTGAGGTGGAGATGACTTGGCATGACATTGACGCTGCGGTGGCCATGTAGAAATGTCTCTAATTTAAAATAATTTTGAAGCATATACATATTGGATGAGGGCGTAGCACCGCTAGTCAAGGAGGAGAGTTTGTGTATTGTGTTGAGCAAAGGTTCTGGTGTTCGATCCCCCCCAGACCTTTTGATCTTTTTTCCTCTAATTAATCATTGTTTCTCTCTTTTTTTTTACATGACTACATTTAGTATTCACAATACATGTGCATGCCAGATGGTTAGAGTTTTGGGTAGTAACCCTAGTGGCGTGGGTTCAAACCCTTTTGAGTGCATTTTCTTATTTTTTGGTGCCTATCTTTTATGCTTACCTTTGCAAATTGATTTAATCACAACTCCTTTGATTTTTATCATTTTGATTTCGTTCCCTTTGATAAATGCTCATGAGAATATCTATTTTTTATCCATGTTAATAAAATTACAAAGAGATTTGTTTTATTTCCCTTGTGCATGTTCAAAGTTTGTGACTTTTTAGGTTTCTTAGGCTTTCTCTTGATCTTCTTGATTGATTCCTTTGATTCTCTTTGCTTGTATGCACCCAACATAACTTGTATGAACCTCACTTGATGCATGAGCTTGTATACCCTTTTTTTTACATGATTGGTTATTGATTTTTCAAGTTCATGTTTATATGTGAATGCGTGTTTGAACATCATAAAATTTTGGTTGTTACCTTACATTTGACATATGTTTCTCTTCCATTGATTGAATGATTAGAATGTGTATATGTTTCATGTCTTTCAATACCTTACCTTGAGTGTTCTCACACACTTATTGCTTTACTTTAAAACATGTTTGGTATGCATGAATCTTCTTTGAGGTGCTTCCCATTGTTGCTTACAAAATCCATGATTGAATTCTTTTTACATGTTTGGTTGTTACCCACTTGGTTAACAAAGATTCACCATAATTCACATGTTGTTGTCACACATGTCACACCCTTGTTTTAAAGGGGTTTTGATTGTTACCTCTATATGTATTCATGCTTAAATATTTTTATGATTTATGCATATTAGTCTTTGGACTTTGCCATGCCTAAATATTGTTATGATTTATGCATGTTGATCCTTGAACTTTGTGATAAGTAATGTTTTGACTTATACATAATCCTACTTGATTTGTATCCATGCTTAAATATTGTTATGATTTATGCATATGGGTCTTTGAACTTTGTCATAATAAGTAATGTTTTGACTTATAAATGATTTACTTGTGATGTTTGGTCTTGTAAGAACCTTATTTCATACCATTTTAGATGTTGTAACATCTATGTTTGCATTTGATTGTAACCATTTGGTTTGATTCTTCTATGGATATACTTGGTTGTAACCTTTTTATTATCTTTATTTGATGTTACATGCTTACTTCACTTTCTTGGTTGTTACCATGATCTTTCCTTAACAAAAGGTGACTTATTGTACACCACAATTCTTATAAAGATTAAAAATTACTTTGCAAGAATCGCCCACAAATAACATTTGAACTATTTTATGTAATTAAAATCTGAAAAATACTAATATGACCTTGATGCAGAACATGAAGAATAAAACTGTGATACTAAAATCAAGTAATCAACTCTAACTAGTTGAATAAAGAATTTCATTATGATCGAATCAAAGGTTAAACAGAATTTTATGTTAGATACTATTTTCCATCTTCGTAGTATATTGCTATCACATAATGTTGGAATTTGTTAGATACTATAATTCAACAATTGGAACCCAAGATATTCTAAACGAAAATCTATGATTTACAAAAAAAAAATTGTCACTTTAAAGATTAGGTGTGAAGCATACTCATCCATATTACTAAACAAGATAAGATAATCAATAATGCATGGATTTTAGTAAATTTTTCCCGTAAACGTTTATATTCATATATTTTAACAAAGTTTACATAATTAATAACAAATCTCTTATAGCTTATAATATTATACACAAAAATCAAAAACAAAAAAAAATCATATGAGTAATTATATTAATTAGAAATAAAGATATAATATATTTTTATTAATTAAAATTGATACACAAGATTTAACAAGTAAAGAAATCTAATCCGTATAATATATTTTTCTATCCCGTGAATAAATAGCCGGGAAAAAGATTTGTTTTCTTATATTTTTTCTTATTTGTTCATTATATATAGAAGTTAGATTTGACTTTAATATTTATCATACTTACCGTGATTTCTTTCTTGGTGCGAACAGAAAAGAAAAACAACTAACACGCGCTGAAACAAAACAACAT